CAGTGAAAACAAGTTGTATCTGAAGCTTATGAGAGAGAAGACTATATATATGTGGGTCCATTGTTATTCTAGGGAAGGGACGGTAACTGGGGCTGGGGGTTGGAAATGGGGTCAGAGTCTGAGCATAAGGGGCTGGTAATTCAGAAGCACCTGGAATAATATGAAATTGGAGTCTGGTACACCAAGGGAAACATCAGGAAATTTTCAATTTCTTGAATTTTCAGTGAAAATAGAATTCTTTTGTAAGGAAAATGTACAAAGGTAAAAGCTCCCATTTTATTCAATTACAGGTTCTGATCATGACAAGTTCTTCAGCTTCACTGAAAAGATAGGTAGAAATGAAGGATTGGACCCTGGATCTGTAGGTTCTGTTCCCAGAGGTGTCATGCTTGCCTTCCCAAGCATAAGTTAATTAAACACATTTGGTTTCTTCATTTCTTTGTCTATGTAATATTTTCCATCTTCAAAAATATTAGCTCAGCTCATTAATTCACTCAATATGTTTTTGAAGATCAGTAGGTCTTTGGAACAAATTGTCAAACACAGGAACGCAGGGTTCTCTTTTGAAGGCACTAATACTTGACAGTGAGGGGAATAAATAGATATGAAACCATTTTCATTGATTACCTCCAATGGGTACAATGAGTTTATGGTAGGATGGATGATGGTGGAATTTTGGGTGGAAAATAGAGACTTTTCTTAATATTTTTAATGTTTCATACTGTCAGTACTTTATATAGCAACAATGTATTGATTCTGTAACTTAAAACTAAAAAAGATAAAAATAATAAAAGATAAAAGTTTAATCCTTCAGAAAGGAAAAAACTTATTAAGAAGAAGTAAGACTACTGAAAATTAGCCCAATGGTATGATTTTTGCATGAACTAATTAAATATTTCAAATTTTCTTATATTTTAGACATATATTTGATCAAAAGAAATAATACAACATGTTAAATGTGATTCCCTTCCTATAGACAACTCTGAGTGCTTAGAAATTGATGAATGAGTACTAGGTAATATTTAAAGAAAAAAGTGAAAAAAATTATAAGTAAATGAAGATGTAGTTTGAAGAATTTAGGAAGAACAAAGAAAATATCATTGGTATTCCTAGACTGAAGATAATAAATAAACTGTATCATTGAAAGATGAAAAGAAAGGGAAAAATGAAGAAAATGTTGGTATTTTACAAGAAAGAGAATGCAGTGTATATAGACTTATAAAGAGAAATAAAATTTTAAGATATTGAAGAGAAGCAAATAGGAAAAAGGCTCACATTTATTGAGACCCATCCACGGACTAAAGGAGATCTCACTTAATCTTTCAATACTCCTATGCATTAGTTTTATCATCCTCACTTGAAAAATCAAAAAAATAAAACTTGGAGATGTTATGTGGTATGGCCAGGATCACAAAGATCAAGTGCAAATCTTTGCTTTGCTTCTGTCCACTGTCCACTGGTTTTTATTAAGACACCAAACTAAAGAGAGACACCACAAAGTGAAGAGAGCCTGGGCCATATTCAGAGGGCAAGGGAAGGGGGAGCACGCATGGGAACAGAGGGAATAGAATGTGTGTTTGCGTGTGCACGTGCGTGTATGTATGTGTGTGTGTGTTGGCATGCTGCTCGGCCACTGATAAACCTTTTCTCTATGCGGTGAAAGCTGCGACTCATATACATTCCATTCCACTTGTTCCAAATTTTATGTCATGTAGAATGTTTTAAAAGTAAAGGGTTCTTTTTCTGATTATAAGTAAAATCTACATATAAATATTTGAATGAACCAAAAAGGTTACACTAATCAAATATCATCCCACTATTGAGAGAGAACCACATTGTATTGTCATTCCTTATAGTTTAAACATTTTATTGTTATTCCTTTATAGTTTCATCATGCAGGTGAGTTCTAATGGGAATCAAGTGTAGTTGTATATACTTTTTATGTAACTGCATGTCATGTCCTTAAATAATATTAAAATAGCATTTTACTTATATGATGTTCCTTAGAATTTGAATTAATATTCTCTTAATTTTGCTCCTTTAAGGTGTCTGTTGCAAATTTTTACTACTTTAAATAATATAATAAATAATATAATAAATCTTGGACTTCCATCATTGATAATTACTTTAAAATATCAGAAATTAATATCAAATATTTATCTTTTACTAGTTTTAAATGGAAAATAAGCTTATTGTTAAAAAATGTGAAAATGCAAAATATTTTTAACATTAGAGAATATGTAAAGAAAATAATCACCAATACTTTTCAGAGATAACTCCTGATAACATTTTTATGTGTACTTGTGATTTTTATCTGTGTGGCTATAATTGCTCATTGGTTTGATTTTTGATACTATCTCCACCAGATATATTTTTAAAATCAGGCTTATGTTTGTTCCTAAAGCATTACATCTTTGTCTAAATTTGGGGTTAATTTATAGAACAGGAAATTATCTTCTTATTTAAAATTCAAAAGAACATCTTATTAATACAGTGTCTTAGATGACAAAGCATTACTAGTTTGTAATCATTTTTTCCCAATTTTTTTCATGTTTGATACTGTACTCAGGATATCTACATGTCCTTTTAGTTGTTTTGAACATATTTTTTTTTCCCAGAGAACCTGACATTTTCTTGGGAATGTTAAAAGTTATCAGCATAGTGATTACATAATATTGTAATATTTTAATGTCTTTTGTATCTGTAAGTGTCTCTGACTAGGTAATTAGTGATTTTTCACCTATCAAATACCCAGTGGTTCCCCACTGCCCACAAGAAAAAAAGATGATGTCCAAATTACTGACATACTATTCCAGATCTCCACAGGTGGGCACTGACCTACTCTTCTAATCTCTCTTTCTTCATTTTTCAGTAAATTTATGTTTCATAGACCCCTTTACCATTTCCTTTGAACAAAGAATATGCACTTCTGGGGTTCTATTCATTTGTGGGTTGAATTCCCTCAAATAACAGTCTGCTTTCTGCTCTTTCTTGGCTCATCAGAATAAGTACCCTGTCTTCTTTGCATGCAGACTTCTGATACACCATCATAGACCCACCAATTTAAGGGGCAACTGGTGGTTACTCAAAGCCTTTTGTGCTTTGACTAAGATACATTCATTCTTCAGTGTGTTCTATGTCCTCACTAGCTTATAAGATCATCCTAAATAGCAGGACTCTGACCAGTCATTTATGTCAACTAACCTACTAAAAATAGAAAAATAGTCTTTAAGTTCAGACTGATCTTAGTTAGTTGCTTGTGTTCCCTGGAAATAAACACATCATTTATTTAGCCTCCTTTTCCTCAGATAATTAAGCCAAACCTACTAATCTCTGTTTACCGTAAAATTGTCATAACCAACTGATTTTGTTAGAACCAACATCTTTAACTGTCTACCAGAAGAATAATCATAAATACAAAAACCTACAACATCTATATCATGAATGGCTCCTCCTTCAATGTAGTGATTTTGTGCAGTGTGCGACCTGAAGTACCCTATATATACTACCATCCATGCTTCCCCATCTTTGTTATATTTTTTCAATGTTTGTTATTTACTTTAATCTATGAGCCAAGGATATAAATTAAATATATTATGTGGTTTATTTGGAGACACTGCAAACAGCATTTTCCTTCTACCAAGAAAAATTAATCTGAAAAAAAGCTGACCCCAGTAGGAAATATTAACTATCATCCTTGCATTAAAACTTACTTATCACAGTGATTTTTCACTTTTCTTTGAAAACATTTACTGGTTATTTTAAATGGTCCCAGCCCTCTCTAGTCTAAACATGCAAAACATCAGTGTTAATCTGTATTTGGAACCAAATGCATATTACCTGTACATAATATCAACATCATTATTTGTGTATTGCTCATATATCTACATAAATTATCTCATGATGTAAATATATCAGCATTAACGGTATATATATGATTTGGAGCAAGTTATTTAAACTCTCCAAACATGTTTCCTTATTTACATAATGGAGAAAATACTGGTCTTGTGGCATTGTTGGAATAATTAAAGGAGAGATTATTATCCTAAATGTGCTAATCAGTGCTTCCTGTCTTCAGAGAAAATAGGACCCCACCCACAGACCTTGCTGAAAATGTGGACCTAGGCATAATAATGCCTTCTCAGCCATACAGTTCACAAGTCAATCAGTGGACATGATGTTGAACCAATCAGATGCTCTCTCTGAGAAATTATACACTGAAATACTAGATAATTTCAGTTAAACAGACTAAGGAAACCTGACCAACATGCTCATATAGTTAGAGCCAAAGAAGATTAAAAAAAAATCATTGCAATACCATAGCATCCCTGGTTGCTATGAGAGAAAGATGGATCATGGTTAAATAACGACAGACATTTCTTGATAGAACAGAGCAGACATGCACACAGAAGAATTGAAAAAAGAAGAAAGAAAGAAAGAAAGAAAGAAAGGAAGGAAAGAAAGGAGAAAAGAGAAAAAAAGGATAAGTAGATGGAAGAAAGGAAGGAAAGAAAGAAGGAAGGAAAGAGGAAAGGAAGAAAGGAAGGAAGGAAAGAAAGAGAGAAGGAAGGAAGGAAGGAAGGAAGGAAGGAAGGAAGGAAGGAAGGAAGGAAGGAAAGAAAAAAAGAAAAATGCTTAGACCCAGAGAAAGAGAAATGGAGTCATTGCCTATTTTTTATATCACAAGAAGCCTTTGAGATAACAAGCTTTCTATTTAAAATAGATTTTCCTATATCTTTGTAACAAATTCTCCATTGAGGTTCAATTTTTTGGAAAGCTTTTTGAGCCCCTCAAATCCCTTATTTGAATGGAAAGAGCATAGCACCTTTTCTAGCCTACATGACACATGCAAGAATGGAGTTTTCACTAATCAAGACTGTAAACCTTGTTACCATTGCTGGTCTCATTTTGGCTTCCTTGTAAATAATCCAAGCATGAAGGAAACACAGACCTCTCCCCTACCCATGCCTTTTTGCCTATTGAAAATGGTAACCACTTACAAGATTCAGTGCCATAATGATTACAAAATTGATACAGACAGCAGCAGCTGATGTTGCAAACTGCCAGTGTTGTTTGATGAAATTCCACTTGAATGATGCAAACTGCTCCATGACAACCAGGCGATACACGACAACAGCAAACACTGCAGTGATCACCAAAGAAATCTACAACACGGGAGACCAGAGGAGATGTATGTATTTTGCATAATTCACAGAACAAAAGCAATACCATAGATTAATATACTGCCCCCACAGAGCTAAAGGAATTGTCTTTTCCAAGAAAGGATACATCATTTTTTTTACACTAAGGGACTGAGTTATATTAGAGTCAAAATACATATTATAAGATTTAAGCTGCTCAAATTTTCACTTTTAAGTAGAATGCTTAGTCTTAATAAATTTCAGGGCAACACATATAATATCCGTTTTACCTAAGATCTTTGTTTCTCTCAAACAGTGTTTTATTTAAAGATATGGCCAAATTGTCTTTGCAATCACTCATGACTTGCCATGATATTAATTTTGTTTGATAGCATATATTACCAAAGTATTGAAGTGGATATGGTTTCTTGCACCCAGAGGGTCACAGAAAAAGTTGGTATCTTATGACTTCTTTCTAAACATGAAATCCAACACATTCTGATACTGATGGTTATACTTTACCATGAAGAATATTCCTGAGATAGAAACAAGGAGACGAGAAACTTTGTCTGAGGAAGGCTGATGTGGCTCAGGCTTTCCACTAATGGGATTCACTCTCTCCATCTTGTAATATTTGGCTTCAAACTGGGGACGGAGTGTTTCCTAGAAGAAAGACTAAAGTTACCTCTGCACCAAAGTCATACATTAAAAAAAATCATCCAATCAATAGTTGACACAAAATTCCTGGATTTTGGCTTACTTTTATAGCAAGTCTTGGTAAAGAAGCAACTTTTAAAAAATAAAATGCCAATTTTTTTCCAAATAATCCCTAACATATATTTTAATTAGCACAAGTTTCCAGTGATGTCATTTCAGGAAACATCATGTAAATACTTTGAAAACCTTACATAACTTCATCAATGATCTCTCTTATCTTAATGAAATAAGAAATCTTGTTAGTAAAAAACATCAAGGGGAAATCTAACGGCGTTTAATTGCTTCCAGCTTGGATGTTAGGGACCGTGAATAATTTTCTGCATTCTGTGTTGTCCCAGTTTCTCTATCTCCTGGTTTCGTGCCATCTTACCTCCTCTTCTTCCCATTCAATGAGGTCCCAAGTATAGGTCAGTGTGCTTCTCCTCCTTTTCCAAAACTCCAAGAAGACTGTGGCTACAGACAATATTAACATCATCATCATCATCATCATCATCATCATCATCATCAATTAGTTACCTTTTACCCAACCACATCACATTCTTTCATAATTGCTTTTATTTTTTGGATTAATGCATTTCCACTTCATTGTTAAATTATTTAAACGAATTAAATTTATATAGCACTTATATAAATGGTCTTTTATTTTTCCCCTCACTCCTTCCTCCATGTCTCTGTACACTACTGCCAGAATAAACTCCTAGAAGTAATTTTTTCCAATTAGATAAGCATAGACCTTTGCTAGCATGACCCATCAAAGTGATGCTACAAGAGAAGGTCAATGTTAGTGAGCTAAACATATATTGTCCCTTTTGACTTGTATATGTTCATACAACATGATATAAAGGACCTAGAGAAAGGCTTCTTCAGCCAGGAATGATAATAAAGACTAGATGCTACTTCTCTAGGACCAAGAGAGGGCTAGGTTGGGAGAGAGAGAGGAGAAGCATAAGGTTACCATGGTGGAAGGAGAAGAAAAGAAAAAGACCAGAGAAGACACTCTTGGATGCATTTTCCAGGTGAACTAAGCATGGACTAGAAAGGCCTCCATGGAAAAAGTAAGGAGATGCCTGAACCATAATCTGAATCTTCTGTGTAAACAATTAAGCCAAAGATTGCTTCTTATCTAGTAAGTGGTCCTCATCTCACAGCATTCAAGACTTTGTGGACATCATTAACACCTCATACATGCATTCCTAAAAGCTATGGTACCATTCATCCATCCATTTGCTCTTCTCTCATTTGGGCAAGGAGCTCTAGTCTCAGGCATCTTCTTATCTGGTAAAGTGAGACAGTCATCTAAATGAAGTTAACTTATATTGTAGTAAGAGTTATAATGGAGGAAGAATTAGAGCAAAGACACAGAAGTACATGGTTTTGGAAAAAGCCACCACCACCACCACCATCACAAGCAGTTGATAGAGCAAAGGAGTGAGGTTTTCTTCCCTATCTGTAATACAGTTTCTTGCCTTCTTTGCAAAAGAATCCCAGGGGAAGATGATTTTGAGGTTTTGTTGTCTTTTTATCTTTATAATTAGAAATCAGCTCTAATACTAGTTAGAAAAAACAATGTTTATAATCACTTATATTTTTATTACACTTTAAAATGTACAAAGTACTTTCTCACATATGATTTAATTTTGTCGCTTTCTTTTTTTTAAGTTTATTTATTTATTTTGAGAGAAAGAGAGAGTGCATGCCTGAGGTGGGGAGAGGGGCAGAGAGAGAGGGAGATAGAGAATACCAATCAGGCTCTGCTCTGTCAATGCAGAGCCCAACGCGGGCTTGATCCCACAAACCATGAGATCATGACCTGAGCCAACCAAGAATCAGGTGCTTTACTGACTGAGCCACCCAGGTGTCCCTAATGCTGTCACTTTCTTTCTTTTCTTTTTTTTTTTATTTTGTCTTTATTTTTGAGAGAGAGAGAGAGAGAGAGAGAGAGCGCACACACAAGCAGGAGAGAAGCAGAGAAGGAGACACAGAATCTGAAAAAGGCTCCAGGCTTCAAGCAGTCAGCACAGAGCCTGATGTGAGGCTCAAACCCACAAACCGTGAGATCGTGACCTGAGCCGAAGTTGGACGCTCAACCAACTGAGCCATCCAGATGCCCCTGTTTTCACTTTCATAACACAAGTAGATATGGCAGGTATTACTCTCATCATATTTTTTCTTTTTTTTTAAGTTTATTTAGTTACTTTTTTTTAACAAATAGTTTATTGTCACATTAGTTTCCACATAACACCCAGTGCTCACCCCCACAAGTGTCCTCCTCCATGCCCATCCCCCCTCCCCCCCACGTCCATCAGTCCTCAGTTTTTGTCAGCATTCAAGAGTCTCTCATGGTTTGCCTCACTCCCTATCCCCCACAATTTCCACCCTTCTTCTCCCCCTTGTTCCTCTGTCAAGTTCCTCCTAATCCTCCTATACGTGCAAACATATGATATCTGTCCTCTGCCTGACTTATTTCGCTCAGCATAACACCCTCAAGGTCCATCCATGTTGCTACACATGGCCAGATTTCATTGTTTCTCATTGCCATGTAGTATTCCATGGTATAGATAAACCACATCTTCTTGATCCATTCGTCCATTGATGGACACTTAGGCTCTTTCCATGTTTTAGCTATTGTGGAGAGTGCTGCTATGAACATGGGGGTACATGTGCCCCTATGCCTCAGCATTTCTGTATCCCTTGGGTAAATTCCTAGCAGTGCTATTGCTGGGTCATAGGGGAGTTCTATTGTTAGTTTCCTGAGGAACCTCCACACTGTTTTCCAGAGGGGCTGTACCAGTTTACATTCCCACCAACAGTGTAGGAGGGTGCCCGTGTCTCCACATCCTCGCCAGCATCTAGAGTTCTCTGATTTGCTCATTTTAGCCACTCTGACTGGCGTGAGGTGGTATCTCAGTGTGGTTTTGATTTGTATTTCCCTGATGACTCTCATCATATTTTAAAACAAAGGTATAAACTTACTGTGTCCAAGAACACATAGCAATAAAGTTTAAATAAAGTTTAATAAAGTTTAAATGTGTGATGTGGTCATTTCCTAATTTATCTTTCAAGCAAAACTCTACCTAGAAGCATCTCCCAGAGAATCTAAGAGATAAAGGTAATCTTGGTTTTGTGAGTCTGAAAATGGGCTTTTATGTAATTTTAACTTGCACAAATCTTTTTCCTTGGGATTTTAGTAATAAACTAGGCATTGTATTTAAGATCCATTTTCTCAGTTTGAGATATATTTATTTTATTCACAGATTATTTAAACTCAGGTGAATCAATATTCTCACTTTAAAAATTTTTTGGTTACAAGGAGGACATGTAATTTATCAGTATGCCAAACATCGAAGAAGGAAGAAAGTTACCACCTATTAACCCCTACTAAACTTAATGAAAACAAAATTAATAATAAAATTAGCTAACTTTGAAATTTAGTATAGCGGTTGCTTCTGAAGCTAGGGTGACTGGTAGGTGGCATGAGGGAACTATTGGAGGTGATGAAAATATTCCATATTTTTTAAGTTTATTTATTATTTTTAAGAGAGACTGAGACAGCATGAGCAGGGGAGGGGCAGAGAGAAGAGGCAGAGAATCCTAAGCAGGCTCTGCACCATCGGTGCTAAGCTCGATGCAAGGCTCGTACTCATGAAACCGTGAGATCATGACCTGAGTTGAAACCAAGAGTCGTACACTTAACCGAGTGAACTGTCCAGATGCCCTGAAAATATTCCATACTTTTAACAAGAACAGTGGTTGTAAAAGTTTATACCATTTCCAAAAGGGATCAAAATATATCTACAGAGATTTCACTGTATGTAAATTATACCTCAAAAGACCATATTTAAATTAGAAAGTAAGTAATTTTTAAAATACCAAGTGATGAAAAATATCAATGGGCTTGATCCTAATGACAACCCTGGTTTCCCCCAGGTTTACAGCAGGAGGCTCAGAGCTTGCAGTGAGGGCCTGAAAAGGAAGTGGGATGCTGAGAAGACCATGTCTCATTGTACAGCCAATTTCAGGGCAGATGCAAACCCTAATTATGACCTTGGGCAATTAGATGGGACCTGAAGAGTAGGCTGAACATTAGGGAGGGTGGCAGAGTACCCTGACACAACTTTATCAAACATCCATGGAAAAAAGAAAGGATATTTACATATGTGGAGACCAGAGAAAGGGTGAAATGGAAGCATCCAGTTGAAGTGGCCTCGAGGTCCTCTCAGGTAGGTACAGGTGTGTGGCCTAATATAAATACAGCAAGAAAGACTGAAGCTTAGGCTAAACTGTAAAGTGCTCAGTCCATCTAAACACACTCAAACTCCAATAATACGTAATCAAACAAACCACTACACTGCCCTAAGTCATCAGCAAGATTTGTCCCACTGGTTCACATTTTACCCCCTACACAAAAAGTAGGTTTTAAATGATGGAAATGTGAGATGGAGAGGCTAAATGCTTTAAGGCCTCAATTCAGTGATTTTGTTTTTCTAGAAGCAGTCTCTGAATGTAACCCCTTTTCTTCCTTTTTTTTTTTAGTTTAAATTTTATTTAACATACAGTACAATATTGGTTTCAGGAGTAGAATTTAGTGATTCATCACTTACATAAAACAACCAGTGCTCATCATAACAAATTCCCTCCTTAATATTCATCACCCATCTAGCCCATCCCCCACCCACCTCTCTCCATCAGTCCTCAGTTTGTTCTCTAAGAGTCTCTTATGTTTTTTGCTGCCTTTCTTGCCTTTGAACTCCCTTCCCCTATGCTCATCTGTTTTGTTTCTTAAATTCCACATATGAGTGAAATCATATGGTATATGTCTTGCTCTGATTTTTTTTGCTTAGCATAATACATTCTAGCTCCATCTATGTTGTTGCAAATGGCAAGATTTCATCCTTTTGATGGCTGAGTAATATTCCGTTACATATATATATATGTATATATGTGTATATATATATATACACAACATGTATGTATATATACAACATGTTATTTATCCATTCATCAGTAGATGGATGATGGATGTTGGGGTCTCTCTATAGTTTGGTCATTGTTGATAATGCTGTTATAAACATTGGGGTGCATTTATACCTTCAAATCTGTATTTTTGTATCCTTTGGGTAAATACCTGGTAATGCAAATGCTGGATCATAGGGTAGTTCGATTTTTAGTTTCTTAAAGAACCTGCATACAGTTCTCCAGAGTGGCTGCACCAGTTTGCATTTCCACCCAAAGTGCAAAGAAGGTTCCCCTTTCTCTGCATCCTCGCCAACACCTGTTGTTTCTTCTGTTGTTAATTTTAGCCATTCTGACAGATGTGAGGTGATATCTCATTGTAATTTTGATTAGTATTTCCCTGATGATAATGATGTTGAGCATCTTTTCATGTGTGGGTTGGCCATGTGGATGTCTTCTTTGGAAAACTATTTATGTCTTTTGCCCATCTCTTTCTCTTT